CTCCTGCGACATTGCTGGAACCAGTTGTATTGGCTCTTGCCTTTCCATTGGATCATTTCAGCAACGTGGAGAGGGGGGATCTGCTGCTTGGGTAACAGCCTATCCTCCATATTACCTTACCCGGGCTTCATGCTCTGGAGAGGACACTCCTCAATTCAGAGCATGTTACCATAGTCTCTTTAGACTGAAGGATGCCTATATGTGCATGTATGCAAACATGCATATATGTGTGGAAAATCCCTGAGAAAGAGAACTACTGAGCCTTTGTCATGACTTTAATGTACACACGTCAAGCTGCAGATGTATTTGGTCTAGATGGGCGGGGTTATAAATTTTATAATAAAATAAATATTCACATGCAAGCTTAAAAAATTAATTTTGACCAACTGAAACTTTTATGCTCTAATTGGGTTTTTCTTAGGGCGAGGCTATAGAAGTGTGTACTATGGGAGCTTGTGAAAAAGACCAAAAAAAGCAAATTCATTTTCTTCTAATGCCTTTGTTTAGCCTGGAAAAGTTTGTCCGAAAACAAAGCTTGTTAGTCTTTAAAGTGCCAGAATACACTTCATTAGTTTTGTGCATGTCTCTGGACATGCAGCAACAGTTTCCTGGCAGAGGTTCTAGAACAAGGATTCTAGAATCCAAAATTTCCAGGAGGAAAATGGGAGCTAACGCAGCCTCTCCCCACCCACCACCCACCCCAATACCTTGTTAGTCTTGGACAGGGGAAGGAGGAGGGAACAGAATTGTGGCAGGCATCTTGTGCCCACTTGCCTATGCGGACACTAGGAGGAGGGAACAGAATTGTGGCAGGCACCTTGTGCCCACTTGCCTATGCGGACATAGCCATTTGAATTTTCATGCTACTCTGACTAAATTATATGATCTCCATTGAATATATCTCTCTGGGGAAGACTGCTGATAAACATTTCAGATTAAATGGAAATTAAGCTGGATCTTACTTTCTAAGGGACGTGGTGGTGCTGCGGGTTAAACCGCAGAAGCCTCTGTGCTACAAGGTCAGAAGACTTGCAGTCATAAGATGGAATCCACGTGACGGAGTGAGCTCCCGTCGCTTGTCCCAGCTCCTGCCAACCTAGCAGCTCGAAAGCATGTAAATGCAAGTAGATAAATAGGTAGGGAAGTTAATGGTGTTCCATGTCTAGTCACACTGGGCACGTGACCACGGAAACTGTCTACGGACAAACGCTGGCTCTATGACTTGGAAACGGGGATGATCACCACCCCCTAGAGTCGGACACGACTGGACTAAATGTCAAGAGGAACCTTTACCTAAGCTGGATCTACTGGTAGATCTTTGGGTAATTTTCTAACTCCCAACAGGATAAATATGACATGAGATCTTCACATTGGAGTGGAAAGAGAAAAAAATTGTTGACCTGTCTGCTTATCTGATTACCAGTTTTCTTTCACCCTCCATATTTCTCACAAGTAAAATGGATGTGTGCTTTTTGCTTTTGTCTTTGCGTAAGGCTGTTGCCCATTAGACTCTTCTGTTAGAATCTTTTGTCCCTAATGGCGTAGATTTGGACTTGTGCGGGCAATTTGTCCCAGATTATGACTCATAGGATACACTGGCTAATTGGCTGCCTCATTAGTTGGGCCACTATTTTACATCTGGCCTCACTGTATTTTTGATCCTTGCTGCAAGGAGTTAGACATCTATCTGGCTTTTAGTTCCTTTGTGTTGTGTTGCTTTGCTTTGCTTTTAATGCAAATCCCATAAGTCTGGAACGTCCCTATGTTTACTGTAGAGTGTAACAGTCCATGCTTGATCTCTCTTTTTTGCCCTCTGATTCTGCCTTTCCAATGTTTCTTATGTGACAGGCAAGGCCTTGACATACCTTCTGCTGCAGCCTCCCAGCCCCAAGCTTCCTCCTCACAGCACCATCAGAAGAACTGCAATTGATCTCATAGGACGAGGGTTTACCGTATGGGAACCTTATATGGATGTCTCTGCTGTGCTGATGGGCCTTTTGGAGCTTTGCGCTGATGCTGAGAAGCAACTTGCAAAGTATGTATTCCACTAAATATTTTCATGGTTGAGGGTTGTTTAACATGCTGTGCTTCATATACATTTTGCTGAAATTTCCAGAAATGCTAGCATTCTGTTTATGGGTGGTACAAGTAGGTGGTACTATAGTACAGAAATTTTCTTTGCTCTGAGTAATATTCAGAAAGCAGTGGCATAAATCATTACACATGGTAATGATATCTAGTAACACATGCTAATATAGTAGGATATGGGACCACCTGTATTGTGTGGGTTCATCTCTTATAGCCAGCTTAATATGTACTACAGTGGACCCTTGACTTACAGACAGCTTGACTTACAGATTTTTGAGTTACAGACTTCTCTGGCCGCAAAATTTAGGTTTGACTTGCAGACTGAGATTTGACTTACAGACCAGAAAAAAACCAAAATGGAACAAAAATGGCCTGTTACGGGATTAATCGGTTTTCAATGCACTGTAGGTCAATGGAGACTTGACCTACAGACTTTTTGACTTGAGAACCGCTTTCCAATACGGATTAAGTTCTCAAGTCAAGACCCCACTGTATGTAACATCTTGTCTCCAAGCCATGATGAGCTTTAAATCCAATAGTTGTGGTTTATGAGCTGTTAATCAGTGTGTTTCTTTCCTCACCCTTGTCCTTCAGGCCTCATGTTGTGTTTAGGGAAGTTATCCTGACTTAGTGGAAGACTTAAACCACAGTTTTCTCCCACAGGAAACTGGTTGGAACATCATAGAACCTCCACCAAAGCTGAACACGTTGGTGGAAGAAAAGGGTGTAGCGAAGCAGAAGCATGAGCCCTTACAGGTTATTCTCAGACCAAATAAATCATAATTCATTAGACAGAGATTACGACATTACAGGTTATTCTCAGACCAAATAAATCAGACAGAGATTACGACATTTGAGAAATATCAACTGGTGGACCTGCTTGCTTTTCAGATATTGTGCACCCTGTGATTCTGTTATGCGTAACAGAGTCAACTGCAGGCCTTGCTTGCTTGTCTAAAATCGACTTAGCCCTGAAAAGTCAGGGTTCTTGCTTGTGTATAGAGCCTATATGTAAATCGGAACCTTTTCTCTTCAAACCCTTCTCATGTGCAGAAAGTGATGCAGGGAGGGATAGTTAGCCGCTTCTCTCTGTGCATGTTGACAGTGCTGGATTAAAGGGATGTCTGACTAGGCCTTTAGTTTTTTCTCGAATCTTTCTGATGGGATACCAAAGCAAAATGAAATGTGCTGCTTATGGCACTTAAAGCACTCTCTGGGCTCTTTACAATTTAATTATGCAGGCTACACCTTTCCCCCCCCCCCCAGCAAGCTGGGTACTCATTTTACCTCAGAAAGATGGAAAGTTGAGTCAACCTTAAGCCAGGCCAGGAAGCAACTCAGGTTGTGAGCAGAATCTTCACTACAGTTTAATCAACTGTGCCATGAGGCTGCTCATTCTGTAGTTAGGGAGAATTATAGTGAACATTTGTGTATACTCTGCTTTTCTAATTACTACTTCATAAAAAGAACTTATTAGCTTTATAAATTTAAAAAATGGCATTTCAAAAAAACCCTAATTACTATTTTTTTTCAATATTGAACGCATTCTGGCTTTGCTGTAACTTTAAGCCCATTAACTCATATGGAGTTATTAATAGTTTCCTTCAGGGATGGTAAAATTTCTTCTTCAGCATGGCCTCTGTGAATGCACACATTAAAGGGTTAAATCAGCGCCTGCGCTGGACCTCTCGGAACCTTCTCGAGCTTTTAATAGAAAAATAACAAAGTTTAAGGTTGCCTGTAATGCGCATGCTCCACCTGCCAAAGCCTCAGTTCCATTTTTCCGCCGAGCGGTTTGGAACCTCTCACTCCCAGCTTATATTCTACTGGTTTTTCGACTGAATTTTATGGACTTTTGAACTTGGAATTTCCCTTGACTACTCTGCCTGCTATTGCCCCGACCTTGGACTGTTCATTGGTACCGCCTATTGCGTTTTCTCTTTTAACTTGGTTGCCTCGGAATTTTCCCACCCCTTCACCTCACCGTGCGACGTTTAAAGTAGGAAAACCCCTTTCTATACTAGCTTATGTCCCGCTCCGGAACCTTTAGCTGGTGTGTGGTTTGTTCTAGGAAGCTTCCTTTTCATGACGGGTACGATCGCTGTCTTTTTTGTTTAGGGGAGTCCCACCAAACCCAATCCTGTAAACATTGCAAGGGGTTTACTAAAGCTGCTTTAAAAGTTAGACAGCAGAGACTTAAATATCACCTCTGGGATACCACTCTCTCTTCATCTAAACCATCAGAAATGGAAATCGCTTCCCCCTCTGCAACTCCTCGATCTGAGACCCGAAATGGCTCACCTCAATCTTCCCTCAGTAAAGCCTCTGATAAACCAGCAAAAAAATCCACTGCTATGAGGAAATCGGCATCTTCAGCGTTGAAATCGACCAGAACTTCCTCTTCTAAGACTATTAAACAAACAAAAACGAAGGCTCCAGTTAAAGCCAAGGACCATCATACACAGTTACCTCCGGTCTCTGCTTCACTTCCTTCTCCTATCCTTGAAGACTCCTCTCAAGACCGAGAGTCCTTGTCTGAGGCAGGAACTTCGCTTCCCCCCAGACAGGCTGAGCCATTACCACCTGAAGGCATCTCCTCTCCGATGCCGAGCCAGCTTTCCCATGCTACTGTGCTGAGCCATTACCACCTGAAGGCATCTCCGATGCCGAGCCAGCTTGCCCATGCTACTGTAGTCTTGGCTTCTGCCCCTCATAGCCCTGTGTCAACTGGGCGGGCGTCTTTGGCTCCATCGGCATCTTCGGTTGCTTCGAGACCGAGCTCTCCACCTCGAAAGCGATCAGTCAAGACCAAACACAGTTCTCCTACTTGATGTCGATCTCCTCGATGTGAAGTAGTGGTACTTCCTCGGTCATCTCAACGTTGACATAGGGACAGATTGGACAACTCCAACCATTACGAACCGAGGCGTAAGAAGCATCAGCGTCGACACCGAAGAGACTACTCTTTTTCTGACACCTCCTCGACGTCAAGCGAGAGACATAGAAGAAGGAAAAGGGTGAAGTATGTATACACTTCCTCCACCTCTTCTTCTCCATCAGCATCGCCCCACAGACATCAACGTTGAAAGCAAGTCGACGTCAGCAAAAGAAAGGACATCTCCAGGGATGCAAGGAAGTGTCCGACTGACTCCGCTCCTCAGTTTTCAGTGTCGACTGTCGGGCGATCTTCTCAACAGACTGCTTATTCTTCCCACAATGTCGAGAAGTATTCACATAGGAGACTCCATCATACTTCGACCTCAGATCAAGAGGACATTTTTTTCAGCTGGTTCCTCTGCTCCTGAGAACGATGTCCCTCAAGAGCCATTGGTGGAAGACTTACCAGAGGGAGAGATAGTTGAGTCGGATGCTGCTGACAACCATGCTTCCTCTCTCTCTGAGGACTTTTCATCATATGCCCATATGCTTTCAAGACTGGCAAAAAACCCTCAAAATTGACATTGATCAACCTCTTCCACCTACAGAGGACCTCATATTTGGTGACATAAGCCAAGAAAGATCTCCACCACTTAATCTCACATTTTTACCAGCTTTAATGGAAATTATTAAGGACGCTTGGAACCAGCCATCCACTTCAGACCCTATGTCGAGATGCACAGAGAATTTGTACCGCCTCCATGGGGATGACACCAATTTTCTTCTCAAACACCCTATCCCCAACTCTCTGATAGTTGAAACTAGCTGCTCAAGACCAACTGGAAAATCCCATGTAACTCCAATAAACAAGGAGGGCAGCAAATTAGAGGTACTCGGGAGGAAAATTTATTCACTCATCTCATTCCTCCTTTGTGTCACAAACTACCAGACAGCCTTGGGCTATTAATAGTTTCCTTCAGGGATGGTAAAATTTCTTTTTTAACCTGAGTGGAAGAAAATCTCTTTAAATGTGGCTTGAAATAACATGCAGTCGTGACAAGTATGTGTCCGTCTGTCTGCTGTCCATTTGTATTACATGCATTTATTTTCTGACATGCTATTTAAACTGGAATTTTTTAATACATCTGTATTGAATATGCAGCCTTTTTAACCATATGGAATCATTGTGATATTGTTCAAAGAATTCTCAGAGAGCCAATCTCAGAGAGTCTAATTTACTGTGAGGCAGTTCTGTAGACATGATAATAAACAAATATGAAAAAGCAATAAAAACAATAATAGACTTTCCATATACTGTAGGAATTTTCAAAACTATTAATGCAGTGTAACAAACTATACCAGCTAAAAGAGGAAGGGATAGTTTGATCTATTTTATGACTTAAAGTGTGTACTAAAAACAAGGTATGAAAAAAATACATTAACAGCATTTTTAACAGAATTGGATTGTTATGGGCAGGAGGAATCTATTGCAATAAATTTAAAATTAATGCCATATATAGTTTCTCACTGATGCCTGTAGTGTGAGGGGGAGTGAATAGATTTTAAAAAATCAACACAGTCATTTCCCATAGTTTTTCTGAAAAAAATATTTAAAGAATGATATGGCGTATTCCAGAGGATTGGGATGAAAAAAGAAAAAGAAATATAGTTAATTAAGATGATCCTGGACTTTTAGTATCATTTTTATTCATTTTGTGGAACTATGTATATATGTTATATTTGATAAATAGCCTGATTATTCTTTGGGGCAATAATTCCTGTCAGTATATTTATAGAATACAATATAGAAAAGAGGAAATTAGTGCTTTTTTTTTCCTTTCCAGCTAAACCGCTTTTCCTTGATGTGAAAGGCACAGATATTGTGCAGCATTTGGTTGGTGAACTGCTTTAGTTCATGTTCTCTTCAAATGCTTCTTATAGGGTGCAGAACATTTTCCTTTGGACATGAACAAGATTATATTTCTTTTTTTTTTTTCTTTTGAGGAAAAATTATTGATGGTTATTTTTGTATTATCTCCTAAAGGTTAAGAAGTCTTTTCTCAGTGACTG